TGCAGCCGGAGGGGGTGGGAGAGGGTTCGGCCCATGCTGCCCCTGGGCTGGGACTGGTCCCGCTGGCGCAGGGTAACAGGAAACTCTCCCAAATTAACCTATTTTTGAAAATGAGTATTTTTATATTTGTAGGACTGGCAGATGCAGATTAGCTTAAGTATTCAGAACATCACTCACAGGTATCTGTGAATTTCAGTTCTGTTTTAGAGCAATTGTTTCAATGTTAGTGTCAAAATTAATTTAACTGACTACAGTAATGGACATTAAATATTGTTATCAAATGTATTATTTGTTGAAAAAAAAAGAAAACTGTGAGATATATAGGTTATAAATAAAAATAAAAATTTGTCATTTGCAGAAAAAAAAAGAGATAAAAGGAAACAGGGAAATAGATCTTCTACAAATGGGAAGAGGAGGTTTACCAAGAAATGGGGGAAGGTTAGGGACAGAAGAGGATGATGATGTAAAAATTTAAGACATTTCATGTACATATACCCAGTACTCTCAGTGAATATAGTCATATGTATCCCAAAGAAGGACAAATACATTTAAAAAAAAAAAAAGGCAAGTTATACATTAATACAAGTAGCATAGATAGGAAAGGATATGAAAATGATGCACTTAGCTACTGTTGTGTTCTGGACATGTTTTTTAAATCAGACTGTAATATGAAGGTGATATTCCAGGGTAACTCTGGGGAGACCCCACCTCTTCTTTCTGCCTGGGAATGCGCCTTCCCTTGTGGTTGTTTTCAGGGGTCTTAGCATCTCTATTGCTTGCCACAATCCACTTTCTTCGCCACATTCCCTTGTACTCCCTGGATGAGTCTGTTTCAGCAGATGTATGTCATTGTAATTATTCATTTTTCAGTTACAGTCACTCATTTTATGCATTTGAAAATCCATCATTGAGTTTCTGTTATATGCAAATGTCTACACTTTCTTGTAATAGTTTGTAATCCTCCAGGAAGTCTGTGTCTGCCAGTCCAGTTACCTGGTTAATTGTAGCTACTAGTTTATCTGTGGGCTGGGAAACACAAGAAAGTGTTTGTGTTGGCTGTCTATAAAATAAGGGGACCAACTAGGGATCCTTAAAGCTCTCCTTTATCTCCATAATATTATATCATTATAATTCACCACTAGCAGTGTATGCAAAACAATGTTTTTAGAGTGCTTAGAAAATTTTTAATGACAAGTAGATACTTGAGGTTAGTGTTAACGAATACAAAGCTATGAACTGGCCTTCTTTCCTTCCTTCATGCCTTTTTTTTTTCTTCTGAACTAATAAAATATTGAAACAGTATATTTTTTCAAAAATAAACTGTGGTCTGGTCAAATATCTTGATTGCATCACAAAATTTACCTTTTAAAAAACAAGCATCAGTACGGTAATCATAAAACCAAGAACCTATGCATGTACATAGTTGCAATAAAAGAAAAGTGGTATCATTATATAGTTTTTTTCCCTTTTAAATCTCCTTTATTTTTTTTTAGATTTTATTTCTTTTTTTCTATTTATTTATTGTTTTTTCATAATTCTAGTGATAAATGAACAGCAATGAGACAGTTTCAAATCAAATCGCTAGGACAGTTTCAATAACTAACACACTGCATACTCATTATATAGTTTTCATAATTATTCAAAATATGGTGGGAAGATTTTATTCCCGCAGCTTCTTTGTGGAAGATGCACCATTACGGTCATACCCTGAGAAAGCTAAGACCTAGAAAATTAAAGACTCAAAGATTCTTAAATAAAAATGTACTGGGTGCCTGCATTTGGGCCTAGTGACTGAGGGTGGAGTGGAGAAGAACTTACGTACTTGACTTCCGAGGTGGGAGGGGGCAGATCTGAGCGCACAGAGAAAGCTGATGTCAGCAGCTATGGTGGCAGCACAAGAGATTTTGCAGGCAGCTCTAGGGCGTTGTCTGGCCAGGGTCCACAGAGAGGTGATTTTGGAAGTATTCTTGTGATGGAATGAGGGGCAGCATTTGTCAGGAGGATAGGAATGGTCTGAAGAGACTTTGCTGCAGAAGATAATGAATACAAGTAGAGACCCTAGGTCACAAAAAAGTCTGGAAATTTGAGGAACAGTTTGAAGTTCATTGTAACTGTAGCATTATTATCCAGTCAAATATAAATGTAATTTAAAATTTTGTGGTAGCCATATTAAAAATAAATAAATAAAATTAATAACATACTTTTTTCTTTTTAAAATGTATTTAGTACAGGGTCTACAGGGTCTCATTACACAGATCAGACTCGGTGATCCTCCTGTTTCCAGCCTCCCAAGTCCTGAGGTTACAGGTGTGTGCAACCATGCCCAGTCTCAGTTGCCCTCTCACTTCACCCTGGGGGCAGGATATACTTTTGCTAACCCAATCTATCTAAAATATTTAAAATCAAATTAGGTTGGGAGCTGTGGAGATAGCTTAGTTGAATAAGTACTTACCTGGCAAGTGCAAGGTCCTGAATTTGATCCCTGTTACCACACACACACACACACAAATAATAAATAAATAAATAAATCAAATTAGGTGTATATCTTATACTTTTAGAATTATTATATTTCAAGTGGTCAGTATCTGAGAGAGAGAGAGAGAGAGAGAGAGAGAGAGAGAGAGAGAGAGAGACAGAGACAGAGACAGAGACAACATTTGAATGTACTCTAGAAGGGAGGAGAAGGGAGGAGAGATGTAGTTGGTGTCATTTTTTTGAAAGGCCTTGTATATCAGCCAAGTATGAAAATCTCCTTATAATGTCATACTTTATGACTGTGTTTCTGAAATAATCTGTGATGCGTAGCTCATTTTTAAACTTTGAATTTGTCACAGACTAATAGTTTTCTTTAAAAATGAAATTAAAAAGACATACAAATGAAAGCACCAGTTTTTCATCATTAGACTTGACAGACATGGTCTTTGTCTATTTTGTGCTCCTGTCAAAGAATAGCTCAGATGGTGTAATTAAATAATAAGCAAACTTACTGGCTCATGTGTTAGAGGTTGAAAGTCCAAGATCAAGAGGCCACCACCTGTGAGGAACTTCTTGCATTGTAGTATGACAGGAGGCTTCTCATAGCAGAAGAATGAGAGAAGGCAAACGGAGGAGAGCAAGAGGGAGTGAGCTCAGGCTCAACGTGCTGAGCCCTCACCTGTGACAAGTGTGAGTTCCTTCCCGTGGGTGGAGCCCTCAGGACCTAAACACTTCTTAAGGTCTTACCCTCATACTCAGGACTCTAACAACGATAATTAGATTTCAATATATTTTGGAAGAGACAAACATTCAAACCAAAGCCCCCGTTCACAGAAGTGTCTAAGGTAGTATTATCCGATGGGATGTTCTGTAATAATAGAAATGCTTTCTCGACGTAGCACAACATGACATTCACTTGCCCCACATACCTGTTGAGAACTTGAAATGTGACTAGGGTGACTGAAGAACTAAAATTTTAATATTATTTAATTTTAATAAATTTATGCTGAAATAATCACAGAAGACCATAATGGGAAGCAATGAATGCTCTTAATCTTTGTTTTTCATCAACAGTGGGCCAGTGAAAACAGTTTGTAGACAGCCATTGCAAAGCATACTTTAAGTAACATTGTTTAGAGCATGGATCCTAGTTATTTAATCTCTCAGAGCTGGTCTCCCTGTCCTCAGTCTGTAAAACAAAAGCAATGACAAGAAACTACGTCTTGGGCTGGGGAGATAGCTCAGCAGTCTAAGCACCTGCCTGACAAGTGCAAGGATTTGATCCCTGGTATTTATCCCTGGTATTGCATGCCCGTGCTGGCCACTGGAACCAGGCATGGTGGTGCATGTGTGTGATCCCCGTGCTGGGGAGGCTGAGGCAAGAGGATCACTACAAGTCTGAACTCTGTTGTGAGACCCTGTATCAAATAAATCAATAAATAAGAGATTTTAAAAAAATTGAAAAGAAACCACCTCTTACTGTTGGGTTGTTACCCTGATTAAATGTGTTAATGAATGCCACATACTTAGAATGATATCTAATACTTGTATAAATGTATTATTGTCTAAATGTATTATTATCAATATTGTTTTCACTATTACCATGTAGGTGATGGATATCACATAATTAAATAGTAACAAAATCCAGCATTTTTATTAATTCTCTGCTTTTTGTATTAGCTTAGGCTTTTTCCCTCTAAAGTGTATTACAAACCCCTAGGTATAGTAGGTATTTAATAAATATCTTTTGAACACAAGTATGAAATACTCTTTGAGTACAGATGAAAGAGCAATTATTTTTGATGGCAAGTGATTAGAAAATGCATCAAGAAATGATGACATCTGAAGGGGTCTCAGTAGACAAGTTCGACAGGCAGAGAGCGCACCAGGCAGAGGGAGCATGGACGTCCACTTGGGTCATAGTGTATTTAGCGGAATCTTTGGCTTATTCAGTGTTGGTCCTATCATTGCTGCCACTACTTCTTCCCTGCCTATGTCTCTTCTTCTTTTAATCTCTTAGTGGACAGGCTCACTAAGTGGAAAGCACATCTGTGGCTTGAACACATTCTGCCTTGTTCATATGGCCAGCCTCTGCCTCTTGTCCACGTCTGCGAGTTATCACATCTAAATGTGATGGGGGAGTTTGAGCAATGGCTGGAAGAGAAGAGGAATGCTTTTGGAAAAGCAGTCTCTGGGGTATGGGCAGATAAATTGTGAGGATCTCTCCCCTAAAACATGTTTTTTTTTTCTTTTAAATTTACATAGATTATTTTAGGAAGAAAACCATTTGGAAAAAAAATGAAGCTCCTTATCTTCATATGTGTTGGTGTTGTTCACCTTTTGTCTCTGGGCTGTGGGCAAGCTTTACACCAGAGTGGCATCTCTCAGAGAACTTTTCAAGAAATAAAAGAAGAAATAGCCAGCTATAAGGATATTGCTAAAGAAATTATCGACCTTGCTGTTTACGGGAAATTCCAGAACCGGTCCTATGAGCGGTTGGCCCTTTTGGTTGACACTGTTGGACCCAGAATGAGTGGCTCCAAGAACCTAGAAGAGGCCATTGAACTCATGTACAAAAATCTGCAGAAAGAGGGGCTGGAGAATGTCCACCTGGAACCTGTCAGAATACCCCACTGGGAAAGAGTAGAAGAGTCTGCGGTGATGCTGGCCCCGAGAATTCACAGGCTGGCCATTCTGGGCCTTGGCAGCAGCATTGGGACACCCCCAGAAGGTACTGTTTGTCTTTTCAATTTGCTACCTATTTTATACAACTAGTGTCACTAGGGTAATTGAATACAATATGCATGATTCCTATTATAATTTCTATGATAGAAAGGAAAATATAACAATTTTCTTTCTTTCTTTCTTTCTTTTTTTTTCTTGTGAAACCAGGGATTGAACTCAGACCCTTGTGCTTGCCAGGGAAGCATGTATTCTACTGAGCCATCTCCCCAGTCCCAACAATTTTCCATTGTATTGGCTTAATGAATTCTTTCTTTCTTTAATCAGTTAATATTTTTTTGAGACAGGGTCTTGGTATGCAGCTCAGTCTGACCTTGAGCTCACTTTGTAGCCCAGGCTGGTTTTGAACTTGCAACGGTCCTCCTGCCTCAGCCTCCTGAATACTGGGATTACAAGTGTATGCCACCACACTCCATTCTATGAGTTCTTTAAAATTATGTTCTTTTTCTTTTTTTCTTCCTTACTCTTCTTCCTTTATTCTATTATTTACCAAATCTTCCCACATTCCAAAGGCTCACATATTAAATGGGGGACCTACAGCTACTGATGCATGATACTTATCAGCCCCATGACTTAAGAATTGCAGTGTAGGGCCGGGGAGATGGCTCAGTGGAATAAGCACTTCCCTGGCAAGCGCAAGGACCTGAGTTCAATCCCCAGTTCCACCAAAAAAAAAAAAAAAAAGAATTGCAGTGTAGCATAAAACAGTGCAACTCTGCAAAAATGAAAACGTTGTAAGAATTAGAATAAACAAGTCTCAAAAGTTATGACTTCTCCTAAGTGTTTTCTTTTTTTTTCTACAGTTTTATTGATAAACAGCACTGAGACAGTTTCAAATCAAATCGGAAGTACAGTTTCAACAAATAATACACTGCATATATTCTTCTTAGTGGTTAATTGCTGTACAAGATGCGGACTTGTGATCCTATTTACAAACACCATTAGAACAAATCATTCTATTCATTAAGAGAATGCAACTATATATCTATCCCAACCACTTTGAATACACAGATACAAAATGGACATTCATAGGTATACCCCATTTTTTCTAAGTTCCGTTATTGAATATTATAGGTGTGTAAACTCAGCAAAATATTCTAAAAGAGTCCAGTAGCCCATAATAGCATTGGGTCTGCCTAAGTGTTTTCAATGTGCAGACTTCTTAGAATTAATGAAATAAGGAACAGTAGCAGCGCACCAAATTGATTTGAGTTTATCATTCTTACAGAAACAGCTAATACAAGGAATTCTCAAGGGTCAGTGTCTCTCTGTACTCACCAGTTCCCTAACCCTTCTTTCTCAACTAACATTAATGTCTGGTCATGAGGAAGTAAGCAGTCAACACTGAGTTCTTCACCTTGGTTGTATTCATGGGCTCTTTCTTGTGACAGTGGAATTAACTACTGTTCTTTTCATTTTCTCTTATGTAGGAGAAAGACCCAGTAAGAAGCAGATTGTCACTCCAAAAAAAAATCTTTATTGTGATACAATTTAGGTACTACTATGCTCATTCTTTAAAAATGTGCAGTCCTTTATAGCCAGAGCCAAGGCCTGGCATGAGTGTGGAACATTCTGCCTGCATGCCACACCCTAGGTCCCTTTCCAGGCAGAGCCCAGGCCCAGCATGTGTGTGGGACCATCCTCAAACTCATGGGAACCTCCTCCATCAGACAGGCCTGGTGTGGAACCCAGAGGTAGAACTCCCTGCAGAGAGGCTAGGGACCAGACCCACCCAATTACTCCAGGTGCTGAACATCTTGCCAGAGGGGCACAGTGGGTTCACTTTCACAGATGCAGCAGGAAGAAGCTGAGCATTGTAGCCAGACCAAAGCCAGGCATATCCAGATGAGTTTGAAGGTGATGGATCTGGACCTGGTAAGTGGAGAGTGGAGACACTTTGCTAGACAAAGATCTATGAGTGCATCCTCTCTCTTTCTCTCTTGATTGAGAGAGGTGACAACAGGTAACTGGGGTGAACCAGTCTGCCTGGAAGACCCCATGTACATCAAGGGTAAGTGATCAGGCAGAGCTTAGGGGAACTAATTTAAATACAAATTCCCAATTTAATATCTGCTTAGCTACACAGGCATAATGTTTGCTTTTATGGTCTAAAATGCAAACTCATTCTTTACAAAATTTTGTCAACTGCTAAATATTACTACCCATTATTACTGTCCCTAATTGTAGTTCTGTATATACAAAACTGCAACTGCCTTTACCACAGAATCTCTCTTGAGTAAGAATTTCAGTAGGTGCTAAGGTAATAACTGCACCAAAAGGCTGGGCATGGTGGTACACACTTGTCATCCCAGCTCTTGGGAGGCTGTAAACAGGTGGATCAATATGACTCTGATCTAGTAGTGAGACCCTGAACACCCTGTAAATCCTCCCCTAAAATAAAAACAAAACAAAAAAGAAAAGAAAGAAAAAAAATAACTGCACCAAAGCTCCACACCAAAGGTCAGAGGACAGTGCTATATAAAATGTCAAAGAGAAGGAGCAAAATGCATTCTCAGGCCCTGAGCCCACACAGAATAAATGCAGGACATGCTAACATAGAAGAAATTGGAAATCACACACCTGAAATCTCTGAATTAATAGTGTCTGAAGTAAAGAAACAACTGCCAAAAGGTATACAGGAAATCAAACCAGAAATAATCTCTGAAGTAAAAAAAGACATGATAACTATAATGAGAGAATTACTAAGTGTTTCTTAAAAAGACACTGATAAAAAATAGTGCAGGATAGAAAAATGATGGAATCCTTGAATGAGCACTATAGGAAAGAAATAGAATGCATGAAGCAGATTCAAAGAGATTACAGGAAATTAAAACATCAATCACAAGTTGGCAAAACTGTTTGAATGAAAGTGAAGGTACAGTTTCAGATCTTGAAAACACCATTGAAGCTAATGAAAAGGTAAAACCAGATCTCTTAAAAACAACTAAGATGCAAGAAAAAAATAATTCAACATCTGCAGGAGGGTGTAAAGATGAATAATGTAAGAGTAACAGGCATCAATGTGAAAGAAGGAGTCAATAAAAAGAATATGGGCAGGAGGCATAGCAGAAAACTTCCCAAATATGGGGCAACAATCTGACATTCAGGTAACTGAACCATATAGAACTCCAAATAACATCAACCCAATTAAAAACACACCTAGATATATAATAAACAAGATCCCAGAAATCCAGCACAAGAACAATATACTGAAAGCCACTAGAGAAGAGAAACAGATCACATTTAAAGGAAAACCCATCAGAATAACAGCAGGCTTCACAAACCATGAAGCCAAGAAGAGCAAGGAGCAGAGTACTTCAATTTCTCTATGAAAAAAATTCTAACCCAGACTTCTATACTCTGAAAAACTCTCTTTTAAGTTTGATGGAGAAGTGAAATACTTCCATGACAAAGAAAAATTAAAGAATTTCATGATGGCAAAGCCAACCCTACACAGACTACTAAAAGATATTCTAGAGAGGGACGAAAATGATCACAACTCCATGAATGAGAATGGAAATAACCCACCAAATAGGGCAAACAATTAAACACAGCAGAAAAAGGGGTATACAACAGAAGGTAACTAACATGTCAATCATGAGTCAATGCAGCTCAATTATAACAATCAATGTAAGTAGACTCGATTCACCAATGAGAAGAAATAGACTGACACAGTGAATCAGGAAGCAAAGTCCAATATTCTGTATACAAGAAACACACTTAACTCATGAAGAAATTCACAGGCTGAAAATCCAATGATGGAAAAAAATACTATATGTCCCAGAACCTCAGAAAAAAGCGAGGGAGCAATCCTGTTCACAGACAGTCTTAACTTCAAACTGAGAATGATCAAACAAAATAAAGAAGGCCACTTCATACTGATTAGAAAAAAAATACAAGAGGAAAAGGTAACAGTCATAAATATATATGTACCAAACATGGGAGAACCCAACTATATAAGACAATTCTTAATGGACATGAACAATCTAATATCAAATACCACAATCTTAACAGGAGACCTTACCACCCCCTTATCCCAAAGATATAGGCCAAAAACACAAAAACTTAGGAAAGAAGTAGAACTGAACCAGAACTTAGACAAATTAACTTAGTGGACATACACAGAATGTTCCACCCAACCACATCTGAATACACATTTTTTCAACTGCACGTAGGACATTTTCTAAAATAGACTACATACTAATCCATAGGTCATGCTTAAGTATATGCAAGGAAACAGAAATTATTGCTTGTATGTTATATGACCACAGTGCAATGAAACTGGAAATAAACAACAAAAGAAATCAGAAAAACCCCATAAATACAGGGAAATTAAACAACACACTCCTCAGAATCCAATGGGTTACAGATGAAATTAAACAAGAAATTAAAAATATCTCCAATTAAATGATAATTCAAGCACAAGTTATTGGGTTTTATAGGATGCAATGAGAGCAGTACTTGCGGAGTACTTGAACTCACACATTAGGGCAACAGAATGGGAACAAATAAATACCCTAATGCTGCATCTCAAACATCTAGAAAAAGAAGAGCAAACCAAAACCAAAGCCCAAAGATTGGAGGAAATTCTAAAGATTACAGCAGAAATTAATGCAATTGAGCCAAAAAAAATACAAAGCATTAAAGAATAAAAAAGCTGGTTTTTTGAAAGATGAAATAAAATTGATAGCGCCTAGCTAACCTCATCAAAAGAGGAAAGAAAAAAAACTCACATTCAAGCAATAAAGAATAAAAAGTGTGAAATTACCACAGACCCTGTGGAAATTCAAAAGATCATCAATAGCTATTTTGACAATCTTTACTTTAACATAATTGAAGACACAGAAGAAATGGACAGATTCCTAGAAAGGTACAAATTACCAAAACGGAATCAAGAAGATATAAGAACTATGAAAGACCCAATAACAGCCAATGAAATTCAAAATATAGTAAAAACCTACTGACAAAGAAGGGTCCAGGTCCTGATTC